CATTCAGAATGGCGGCTGGTAGCCATCTTGAAAAACGGCATCTATTATATCTCTGGAACTAAAGAGGCAAAATAGACATATAAGATGTTATTTTCAATTAATTCTGGCATTACAGCCCATTGGAATGGTTCTTTTGACGTTCAGGGACTACCATGACCTGCTATTTGAAGATGACTGCTGTCCACCATCTTTCAAAACGTCAATCTGCAATAATATCTCTTGCGCCAGAGGCTCTTGGTATGAGGAGCCATCCCATTTAAATCTGCCAAAACCTAACTTATTTGAGTGGTTATTTTGAGTTTTATCTTGATACTTATTTTTTTCTGTTATAACTTCTAACAATTTGGGTTGAATTAATTTGTTTTACTGTCTTTAGTAAATTTGTTCTGCATTGCATGGTTTATTATTTACACATGTTTTGCCTTAACATATAGTTGGCATGGGCGTCGCCAGGATTTTTTTCTAGAGGGGGGCAAAGCACATTTTCTCCCAAATCCCTACATTTTCTGCATTTTCCCGATTGATCATTTTTTTCCGAGGGTGGGCAGGGACCTTTTTTTTTTTTTTTGTCCCTCTCTCCCCCCCCCCCCCCCGCGACGCTCAAAATAGTTGCCATTTGATTATTTTGATTGTTTATTTCGCGTGCGATTGTAATAAATCTGTTGCTTGGACGCAAATGAGATATAGGGGAAACAAATAATCTTGGTTCTTTGCTGCAGCCAAAAGCAGCCATTATTTGACTCAAACTTCTTGGGATAACCAAACGATGGACCATCACTATGGTCCCTTAAATTTGTTAGTGGGCACACCTGACCCAAACCAGTTAGACCTTTACTTTGGTCACATATAACTTTTGGTCAAGTTTCTTGCTAAAAAGCTGCAACGCAATGACGGCCGCCAAGCCTCGTGGTCTAGGCTAAAACCGAGGCCCTTGGACAGACCTTTCATCTGATTGGTCAGGGTTAGATATCATGAATCTTCATTGGTCAATCTAAACCTCAAATCTGCATATCAACCAAATAAGACCATATTTGGTAAGGAATTTGTTTCCTTCGGTTTCTTGCGCAATTGTACTGAACGTCAACGCAACTTCTTCAGATTTCGCAACCAACCCGAGACAAAGGTTGAACGTTGTTTGTTGCGCAAATCATATCAAAAACGACATAAACCTTTAAAGTGTACCAAGTATAAAGCATTTTATCTTTCAGAGATAAAATCAATTATCATGCATGTGGTTAACAATTCGTTTATGTTCACTTCCTTGTGTTTGATGTTTTTATTTATTCGGCTGATTCATCTGTTTATTTATATTTTTGTTTCGATATCGTTTTTACTTTAAATATTGATGCTTAGCTTTGATTTATGACTAGTTGCATAATAACAATTTGTTTAAATTTATTTGTTTTACTGGCTTAAGTAAATTTGTTCTCCATTGCATGGTTTACTATTTACACGTTTTGCCTTACATATAAAAGAAAGTCCCCCTTCCAATACTTTTTGTCTAACTCAAAATCTACTGAGCACTTTTCGCTCAAATAACGTACAGAAATTCCTTAGCAATCCAGCCATACTCTTTATTAAGTCAAAAACAGTGCTAAAATGGACGAAGTAATGAAATTTATGACAAATGATACCAAAAACACTTGCACTTTTGTATACGTGCGAGTTGTGTTTCACACTAGCCTTGCACGTATGTGCAACTTTTTTCGGTACCATTTGTCATAAATTGCATAATTTTGTACACATTATCACTGTTTTGGGCCAAAGAAAGAGTATGGCTGGATTGCTAAGGAATTTTTGTACTGATCAGTCGCAATTTGAGCAAGGCGTGCCCAGTAGATTTTGAGTTAGACAAAAATGTATTAAGGGGGACTTTATTTTTTGGTTGAGTGTATACTGAGTGACTATTGTGTTAAAGAATACCAATAGTAAGTCTCCCACTTCTCAGTGAGATATTATCCAAACTGTCATCTTCAGTACAAGACTTCACGTTCCTTGGGTGCGCTGTAACTCTTCACCGTCTCTTCTGCTCTCCATTATCAACGAGTTCTCAGATGTTCATACAATCCACCTGAACCAGTAACACAGTAACATTGAATAATTGTAAAACATTATCCTTTCGTCGTTTCACAACTCAAAATGCAAGTCGTTTTTACAGAGTCTGTGACTATTGTTTCATAATTCTTATCTAGGTTTTACATTATATGTTTATGAATTACAAAGGTCCGCATTACAAAGACCTCAAAATGTTATGTTATTTCAATTCAATCAACATTTATTCCCATAATGCCACAAGTTTTATAATACAAATAAACAATGCCATTTACTACACAAGATCAAACATGTAGCTATGTAGGCAATTATACAGGCATCTTTCAAAGCCGCGGGCTTATATGGAGATGCCTTGACAAAACAAAACCGGAATGTCAACTCACCAGTTACAGGAACTAACAATCAGACAACACAAATGGAGAACATGGGATGAATGTATAGATGTGAAGGGTTAGAGAAAATACAAAATGCCATCAATGAATAATCATGCAACTAGTCATAATCAAAGCTAAGCATCAATATTTAGGTAAAAACGATTTCGAAACAAAAAGATAAATAAACAGATGAGTCAGCTGATTAGATAAAAAGAAATCAAACACAAGGAAGTGAACGTTCGGACGTTCGTGGCTGATAGCGGTCTGTGTGTCATAGCGCCCTCTATCAGCGTAGGTTCGTGATAATGGTTTTTGGGTGGGTTGATTGTGTGCTGGTTGAATAAAAACACAAAGAGCGTCGAGAACCGAGACTTTACTGGTACGCGCGTAGATATTTGAATTAGGATGATCCTATATACGCCATAGGTTATTTTGAAAATCTAAGTATCGCCATAGGTCACGTACACTGAACTTAAAATGTACCCAGACTATGCTGTTGTTTGTACAATGGTATATTTACTCACTAAATATTTACCTACAGACGCGTACACAGCAAGCCAGAATGCTTATTATATAGAATCTATGGGCTCCATGCACAAGTGCCCCTCCAACGGCCAGAAAAGGAGAGTTGGGGGTGACCTAGACTGGTTCCCGGTTCATCCAATGCATATTTCGAATGATCCAAAGTTATTGGGGCGAAGATTATTCTGATTACCACCGAGTTCCATTGTTTTGGAAAAAGTATGTAAAAACCTTTTGGGGACAGTTCGGGGGAAAAAAAATTGTGAACACAACCAGACATATTCCCCGTCGCGTTTTTTTTCATACTGGCGAATGGTATGCTGGCACCAGTGAAAATAGCTCAAAAATTTACTTTTTTTCCAAAAATGGATGATTTTTGCCCAAATCTGCAAATTTATGCGAGTTAGAGTATTGATTGATGTTCCTCTTGCATCCAGATGAATTTCTGCCTTGATGTGAGAAAAGTCAATTTTTGGCCGATTTTGACTAAAAATGTAAGGCCAACTCCTTGCATATTTTACAATTTGGGACAAAAAATGAAATTGCTTGAAAGTTGCTAGAAAGATGCCTTAAGGGCCCTGAAACGCATTCCAAATCGATTGCTGGACAGATGTGCTATTAAAGGGGAAATTTCGTCGCAATATTAGGGTAAAATCGCTCCAAAATGGTTTTTCCCAAAAATGGATGATTTTGCCCAAATCTTTAAAATATAAGGCTTACCCCTTGAAATTTAGCCAAACAAATGACTTTTCTCCAAACTTTTCAAAAATTCGTCTGATGCAATACAGCAATAGGAGCATCATCACTATTCAAATACCCTAATTTTTGAAGATTTGGGCAAAATCATCATTTTGTTTGTGAAAAGAAATATTTTTTGATAAATTTATTGACGCAAAATTGTCGACTCTTTTCTTTCTTAAGAAATAGCACATCTGTCCAGAAGTAGAGTTGGAATGTGTTCTGAGGACCTTCAGACATCTTCCCTGCAAGTTTCAAGCAATTAAATTTTTCGGCCAAAGTTGGAAAAAAAATTCCCTTACATTTTGGATCAAATTGTGGGGGGGAAATCTACAAACTCTTCAGAAATTCGTCTGGACGCAAAGGGGCTGCTAGCCCGACTGCGTCTGGCCGTACAGTACTATCGCAAGCTCTGTAGTACGGCCAGACGCCCGATGCTTCCACAGAGACTGAATTTTGTTGGCCGCCGATGTAGCGATTTTGCTACATCTTTCGATCGCGATTATCTTGTCATCCAGGACACAAATTTCCAAAGTTAAGGTTCGTAGTCGTAGAGCAACTCATACCTTTTCGAAAAAAACGTTGTTTGGTCTCAATATTTTCATCCATCTGGCCACAAGACGAATTTCAGTCATCAGATTCCACAAATATCGTCCCCCATGCGATCCCCCATGCGATTTCAAAATGGCGGCCGTGCTGTAATGTATGCAATATGCAGGCGCGCCCGCACAAACTCATGAATATGCATAAACAGTCTGTGACGTATGACCTCGTGTTTTTGGACGTGCGTGGGGCGGGGCCGTACGTCCAAAAACACGAGGTCATACGTCACAGACTGTTTATGCATATTCATGAGTTACAGCGCGGCCGCCATTTTGAAATCGCATGGGGGAGCATTTTCGGGACGATATTTGTGGAAGATGATGACTGAAAGTCGTCTTTTGGCCAGATGGATGAAAATATTGAGACCAAAGAACGTTTTTTCGAAAAGGTATGAGTTGCTCTACGACTAAGAACCTTAACTGTGGAAACGTTTGTCCTGGATGAAAAGATAATCTCGATCAAAAGATGTAGCAAAATCGCTACATCAGCGGCCAAAAAAATTCAGTCTTTTTGGAAGCATTCAGCGTCTGGCCGTACTACAGAGCTTGCGATAGTACTGTACGGCCAGACGCAGTCGGGCTAAGGGGCTGCAAGCAATATTCAAAGATCCAAAATGTCCAAAAAGGCAAAGTGTTTTTTTATTTTTGTAATAATTTTTTTTTAATTTTTAAGGGATTTACCCAACAAATACACAACATAACCAGAGAATCATTCGAGATAAACATTCATCATTGTTGAATCTTTTCTATGCATTTGAATGTGTAACGCTATTAACTGTTTTTTAATTAATTAAATATGGAAATATAAGAGTTGATCAAAATAAAAAGTATCGTTTTGACTCAGTCTTCATCAATACATTATTTTCCCCACAAATCATAGGGGAAAATACCCACAAATTACCGTGGGAAGAAAATAAAGAAAAACAAAAATTTAAATAGAGATCTGACTGGCATAAAACCACTGTCTGGAGTATTCTGAAAATATTGAAGAAAAAAAATATGCAATGATACTTCTAATGTAATTAGAAATACCCCCAAAAATGGTGGAAATAAATATCAGGCAAATATTAATCACATAATTATTGTATATGATATACGGTTTTTTTCCTGGGGAAAAAAATAGATTTTCTTCATAACTACTTTTCACATGTTTTAATATAAAGACCTGTAAACAATACAAGTTCCATTTTACAAATAAATGTCTCTTTTTATGAGGGGCGGGTTATTATTGCTAGACGTTTATCTCCTTTACAGTCAATGCACTTTTCTGAATTTCAAATTCACTTTTAATAAAAATAATACCAAAACATAGTTGAATTCTCTTTTGGTCTTGAGTATCTTCCTATACGAAAATGAAAAAGCCAATCAAACTCAAATTATGTCATAATGCTGCTGTGAAGTCATATTGTTTTGGTTTTTTTTTATTTATTTATTTTTTAATCCAACAGCAACTGGATGAAATAAACTATGGAACTGAGGCACAATGGACGTACAAACTTGGACATAATCATGGGCCAAGAACTGGTCTGGTCCCCAGACTTTCAGTCATGGTAATGCTGTGTTCATAATAATCTGGCACCAGACATTTGGATGGTCTGGTTCCCAGACTTTCAGTCATGGTAATGCCGCGTTCATAATAATCTGGCACCAGACATTTGGATGGTCTGGTTCCCAGACTTTCAGTCATGGTATTGCTGTGTTCATAATAATCTGGCACCAGACATTTGGATGGTCTGGTTCCCAGACTTTTAGTCTGCTCCTGCTACATTCACACAATGTGGCATCAGACTTTTACTTCAAAGGAACGCTGGCAAAATTGACAAACTTTGACATAATCGTTGCCTTGGAGATGGTCTGGTTCCCAGGCTTTCAGTCATGCTAATGCTGTGTTCATAAACAATTTGTACCAGACTTTTTGATAGTCTGGTTCCCAAACTTTCAGTCATGCCACTGCTATATCATGGAAAGTGGCATCAGACTTTTACTCCAGCTTCGCAATAAGGATATAGGCACACCAGCCAATACCTTGGTATATAAATTCTTGTCAAAATAATGTTACATTTGTGAAATATATCTGGTCTGCAAAGATGCACTCTCTTTACTTTTCAACAAATTCATGTTGTTTTTGTCCTAACAAATCTTCAACTAATATTTTTCGTTTTCACAAAAAATTAGTTTTTCTATGTTTTGGTCATCTGCACCCAAAAAAGCTGTAATTTTGGATTGTCCAAGTAGACTGGTTCCGGATTCCTATGTTATCGCTTCTAATAGGAGGTAGGAACCAGCCTGACGCCCCAACCATGGCATCCCAACTACTTCCCCAACTATTGTTGGGACTGGTCGGGTCTGTCCCGTAGTAGGGCCTTAACGTCCCTACTTTGAAACATTGTGGATAGCACCAACGACCTTTTCCAACATGCACAGCTTGTCCTCGATCCTCAACGGGGGCGCAAACTGGGCTTGGCGTCTCCACTTCTGGGTGACCTCCAGGGCAAAGGTCGGGTTGCTGGGCGACAAGCAGAGAACGGCTTCCGCGGTGAAAACCTGCACTGTCCAGGGAACTGCAACAAGTTGAAACAATTCAAAAACGGATGAGTGTTAATTACTCGACAGACACATCAACTTGAAATAGTGGTCTTAATAGTGCTGTAGACTCCGCGTGTACAAGTACCCCCTCAATGGTTTACAAAGGGAGAGTTGGGGAGACTATTCCCCCCCCCCCCCCTTTAAAAATATGGGAACCAGTAGCTAGCTCCCATTTAAAGCCATTGATTGGATCACCTCTGTGCGCACTCATCATGATTGTTTATTTTCAAATCGCCATTTACCTCTGCGCATGGACGGTGATTGAACACATGATTATCAAAAAATTCACTCTTGTCTTACCACAAAAAGTACGTGACAATCAGTGTCCATGTGAAGGTAATTTTTCAAGCATTTCATGATCCAATGTATAAGTTATAAATACTAGAGAGTAATTTCTCTCTCTTTGTTGATATTTGCCAGAAGACTTTTGAATTTCGTTCACAGGCCCACAAAGAGAGTACGATGTTTTAGAGCTTCCATGTTGACCTAATGAGGGCTCCAAAGAAATTACGTCATGCATCCTGAAGAGATTAGCTCTTCCCAGCGCCCTGTTTGGGCAGTGGGTACAAGTGTAGCTTCACACACGGAGTTGTCGCGATGCACTGTCTACTAGTTCTGCGTATTTTCTAATCAACACTTACCACTGGCCGAGGGTTGTTGTAAGACAGCCGCCAACATCTTGAGGAGCTCGCACACAGACTCTTTGTGACTGTCCAGTCCTAAACCGGCAACATCTCCTGAAAAAAAGTTCAGTAAAAAAAACAGGACAAGTTAAGTCTAGTAAAGCTGGTCCCAGAGCACACAAAAGTTTTATTCAATTGATTCAGAATGGCTCTTCTCTGGGAGTCTTTTCATGCATCTGGTTGAAACACAGTGGGCCGGATACAACCCATTCATTAGTGTTACTGGGTAATCATATACAATAGCACTGCCCGATTCACAGGCAACGGTCGGTGGGATAGGCACAAAAGAGGACGCTGCAGTCTTGCGGTTGCCAAGGCGTTTCATCGTACGTTGCTAAGGCAATTTTATCCGATTACGTAACTGGACGCCACACACCAAAGAAGTGAACTGATTGCACCCAATAAAACATCGCTTTTTGAACGTTCTGTTTTTGAAAAAAAAAAAACATGCTTAGTATGATTTAAATGTTAAATTATAATAGTAGAACAAATCCTAAACTTCATGTCAGTTCCAAAAAATTGTCGTTATTGATGCAGAACTTTCAATACTAAAAGATAGCTAATAGTCGTGGAAATCTTTTGAAAAGGTCCCCAAATCGATTTAATTATATTTACTTATATTTACAAATTTCAGCTTCATCTGTTGTTGCAGATGCTTGTGTTACACTTTCTACTATCACCAAGGTAAGTTTCGCCTCAGATTTTTGCCAAGCAAAACAACACGGGGTCTTCAGGTACGTTACCACGGCCGATTTAGCCAAAATGATTTGGTCAATTTGGCTTGCAACGGTGATGTAGCGTGTTATTAGCATATTTATTAGCATGACTCAGCGTGACTTACCGTGGGTCTCATATATGGACCAATGGAAACACACCATAGACTTGGAAAGATTCACAGATATTGAAAATACCATTTGTTACGGCTTTGAAAAATGGACACACCCAAAACTATTTTTACAATTTTAATGAAAAATACTGAACACATCGAAACAATTTTCTGGGATCATTATAAGGGAAACAAACTCCGAAAGTGGCATGATGATACCGTCTTCAAAACAGGAGAAATTGATGTTGAAAGCTTTTGCCCGCGAACATCAAAAGGTCTGTGTAACGGTAATTTGATCTTGTTTTATTCAAAATAAAGTGTTATGTAAGTGGCCAAATCGGCCGTAGCAACCACAAGACTGCTAGCCTGGCTCTCTTATTAAACTTATTTAAGAATCTGAGTAAGATAAAACTGTATAAATATCAGATAACCCACCGATAACTTTCATAGCAGCACAGGCAGAGGCGTCAGCGGGTGACTGAACGCAGTGGCCGATTCCGGTTGGCGCCGGTTTGTTCTGGCCGGATCCGGTTGGGGGACCGGTTGCTGCATGGGCTGCTTGTACTTGGTGGCTCCAGGCCTTGAGGATCGGCCAGAGTTTTTCCCGAATGAGACGATTGTTGGTCCACTGCCAGCCCAGGTGGTAAGCTAGCAACTCCAGGGCCTTCACAATTTCGTAGGACTTTGGGGTCAGGGCTTGAGTTGGAGTTCCTGAAAAAAAATTAAATCAATAATTATAGAACAATTCCATAGGAAAGTGGACTCGGCTTAAGGTAAAGGGGACGAACTTGTGTTCACAGGAACGGAGAGCCATCTCTCTTTCAAAGCGATTGGGCCAGACTCATATGCTGCTGTGGGGGGATCGCCACACCTCCTCCACAGCGAGTCTGTTACCTTCCCAGCATTGAATAATGCCGGTACCCATTTAACACCTGGGTTGAGAGGAGTAATTGAGGTAAAGCGCCTTACTCAAGGGCACAACACGCATGGCCACGGCGGGGCTCGAACCCACAACCTCACGATCATGAATCCTGTGCTCTACCGCTAGACAATACGTGCCCTATAAAAAAGGCTGAAAAGTTGAAAATCTTTGAAATCTTCAGAACTACAAGCATCGCAACCTTAAATGTGGTATCAAATTAAAGGGGGCAACAAGACCTTTCATTGCGTAGTGTGTCAGTGAGATTGAATATGGTCAAATGTATTTTCTTTTTTGGTGAAAGAAAAGGTTGGGGGATAAAACAATGGATTTTAGGTAGTTCTTTTGGCATTTTCTTTTCACGTGCAAAATGCTAGTGTTATTGTGAGTGTTAGTTTTGAAGGGAGAGAAAAAGGTTCACAAAAGTTCATTTGTAAATATTATGTGTAGTCATTGTAGTGTATTGCAGGGCACCAATGGAAACCAGTTTGAAACTGTTTTGGCAAACCCTGGGTAAAGAAATGTAATAATTAAATAATTTTGCCAAAAGAGATTATTTGGGTAGATTATTAGTTTCTTATATGTTATAACTTGTACCAAAGATGGGTGGAGAAACTGTAACGCGAGTCACTGTGACATGACTTACGGACATTATATCCCACTAAAGCCTATGACATACCTGTATTGAACAGCTTGGTCACGTTGGTGTCTTGTATAGATGCGACGAGTTGGCGACAGCGGACGATTGGCAGGTTTCCATCCGGTATCCCCCAGCCGCAGATCTCGCTTAAGTAGTGTATTATCTGACGGGAAACAGGACAAGACAAGTCTAGTAACGCTGGTCACAGAGTTCATACAATTCCATTCAATTGATTCAGAATGGCTATTCTTGGAAGTCTCTTCATGCATCTGGTCTACACAATGGGCCAGATACATGGGGTAATTCTTTATGATAGCACTGCCCGGTTCTCTTTACCAACCAGGCTTAATCACATGTGACAATCAGTGAGTCAGACAGTCAGTCGGTCAGGATGAAAGAGGACACTATAATGGCCGTCTGGGAACGGCAAAAAAAGAATTTAAAAAAAAGGGCAAAAAAGAATTTAAAAAAAAAAAAAAAAATTTTAAATGAAAAGACTGTCACGAGCCAATGTGGCCCATCAGGCCGGCGTTTATCTCCGATTTCAGTAGCATGAAACGACTGAGAGTATTTCTATTTCCACTGGATGGGATGCCAGTCCATCGCAGGTTACTCCCCAGCTAATGCAGGTACCCATTTATACTCCTGGGTGGAGAGAGGCAAGTGGGGATGAATCGGCTTGCCCGAGGACACAACATATGGCCAGCAGCTGGATTTGAACCCCTGACCCTCTGATCATGAGTCACGAACCCTAACCACTGGGCCACACTCCCCTACCGTTACTCCCCAGCTAATGCCAGCACCCACTTATACTCCTGGGTGGAGAGAGGCAAGTGGGGGTGAAGTGGCTTGCCCAAGGACACAACATATGGCCAGCAGCTGGATTCGAACCCCTGACCCTCTGATCATGAGTCACGAACCCTAACCACTAGGCCACACTCGCAAAAAGCAGGCAATGATTAAATTGTTTCTTATGTACAGGTTCGATTTCATTTTTCAGAATCCATTTTCATTAAAAAACAGCCTAAGTACATTGGGATAACTCCCATTAATGAACATTCACACAAAAAATATCAGGATTTGTGTTTTTACTGATAAAACCAACTTTTGGGGTTGACAATTTGAAATGTTTAACTTTTGAAAGTAAATTTGTATTTTTGGCATTATTTTCATTACAAAGTTCTCACTGGGCGTCACTATATACCTCTTGAGCTTGTAGATTTTGAGGAGATGCGGAGAGTACCAAGCGTTGCATGGCAACTATCTCCATGGCAGCAATGATCGGCGAAGATGAACCCTCCTGTAGAAAATATATCAATTGAAAATATCAGATACAAAATACGTATTTATAAAGCACAAATTTCAACAAGAATTGTTTCTCAAGGGTCTACGTCATTATCATCCAAAGACAATCTCCGCTCCCTGGGGGAATGCCGACATTTTGGAAGCTACAATCATTTACAATAGCCATCTCTGCCCTCAGAGGTACCCATTTACTCCTGGGTGGGGAGAAGCAATGAGGGACAAAGTGCCTTGCCAAAGGGCACACGCACCATAGCCCCAGGCTGGACTCGAACCCACAACCTGCAGAATAACCCACAGATCATGAGTTCTGTGCTCCAGGCCACGAGGCCACAGCACTCCACATTTTCAATCCAGTGACGTCTTTGTTTCGGTTTTTAATCTGCATTTATGATACAACATCACATTCCTGTGAACAAATGGCCAATTATTGAAACATGTTCTGTCGAAACCAGACATTGCACAGGAAACACCTATGTACAGGGACACAGCGGGATTAGCATACACCGCATTCATGCCAACACCACATCGATTCGGTACCTTTCTTCTCAGGACAGTCGGCCACGTCACTGCCACATTCAGCAACAACTCCTCCACGTTAGGAAAACCCTCCCTTAGCAAGTCGTAGCAAAATATCCGCACTCGATCGATTAAGCCTGGAAAGGGGAATTTAGAGAAAATTAAGAAAAATAAATTTTATACAAATTAAGTACAAGCACATTGCAATCAATTCAGATAAAACTGCAGGATAAAGCTGTGCATCGGAACCGGGTACCCAGAGCTGAAACTACAACAAGCTAGGCTGTGAACATTCTTCTTTTGGATTTTGAGTTTTGTTATTATTGGAAACAAAATATTGCATGAATAGATCTTATATGCCTTTTAACCCTGAAGTTAAACACTGCGTTCCGTACCCATCTTTCTGCAGAGAGCGGCAACGACTCGGCAGAACGCCGCTCCGACTACAACGGCAGGCGTGGCGCTGGTTGAACTTGGCGGACTCCGAACTCCGCGACAGAGACAAGCCAACAGCATCGACGTGTTCGATTTCTGTTAACAAGGAGAGGTCAAAAATGATTTAAGAATATAATAACACTTTGCAGAAGAAATTATCTTCATAATTTTTTTTCTGTTATGCATATTTGCCCTGAACAAGGCTAAACCCTAACCCCAAAGAGTTCATGTAGGGTGAAGTAGACTACAAGGCACAACAAAAATTATGTATGCAGGTACCAAATACTAGAAAATACTATGAGTGCTGTGCCCACTTATATGCTGAAGTACTGCATTCTACAGTTTACTACTACAGGGTGAGTAAAAAGAAACCCAAATGTCGGGACCATTGTTTTAGTGAAGTTCTGCATGTAGCACTTTCAAAATCTAGTACAGTACAAGAAACATTCAAATCACTCATGTACTTTTCAAGTTACGGAGTTTTAAACACAACCGCCGTTTTAAAGTTCTGTCCACGGATCACAAACAAACTTTCGTTTCTGTTTTGCAGAAAGAACACTGAACATTTTGTGATCCGTGGACAGAACCTTAAAACGGAGATTGTGTTTAAAATTCCGTAACTTAAAAAGTACAGGAGTGATTTGAGTGATTCTTGTACTAAAAGAAAGCTTATAAATTGGGCTTTTATATCCTGGAATTTGAAAATGCTGCATGCAGAGCTTAACAAAAATAATGGTCCCAACATTTAGGCATTTTGTAGCTTTAGGTGAGATTAATGTTAAAGCCTCTCATGGTTGGCTACAAGAGAAATGAAAAGGAGAGTAGGTACTCGGGGGGGGGGGGGGGGGGGGGAACATTCCTCTTGAAAACAGGACAGATCATAGGTTGGAGGGGAAACAAACACCAGGCAAGGAATTCCAAAGAGATGCTGCACATTTGGGAGCGAATATAATTATGGGAACAAAATATAAAATCCAGTCTGGTACCAAGACTTATTGTATGTATTGGTGTACTACACACTCTTTTACCTTTGACAGTAGACCACCCTCTACGATACCGGCTACAAGCTGCTCTTCGTGGTGCAGGAGTAATGGTTTGGTGCTCGTGTTCTTGGTCAGACACTTGGCTTGGATGGCTGGCATCAGACTGATACCCTGCTGGCCAAGGAACTATAAAGGAAAGACAAAAAATATCGCAAGAATTACGAAGGAGCAATACGAATGAGACGTGCTCCCACGAAATCCGGACAACATATTTTTTGTTGCAGCATACACCGTACTTTAACCAATCACATCACGTACCCTAACATGAATATTTATCACGCTGCGTGGATGGAAGACACTTGGTTCTCGTTGTGTATTTCCTTCCTAACCAACAAAAATATTTGATGAAAATGGACATGGGTTCGAACCGCAGATCTTGTGATTAATAGTTCATTCCACTATCCACTAGGCCACTGTGGCAGCTCGACGAAAGCCGTTCTTTGAAATGCTTTAATGTACATGCATGACTGAGTGATAGCAATGGTGTGACGCCATTGTTATTTTCTTACGAATAAACATCGAACTAGCTGAATAATCATGATCCACTGACGATGTGCGCTGCAGATAAAAAAAACCGCACCCAGGCAAAGTTGCAAGAAGTCGTTTTCGCACGAAGGGCAAGTGAAGTCATTCATCGACCCTTTTGAGGTTTTGAAATTTTCTGGATCGGTAATTATAAATTTACAACCTCCCAAAATATGAATATAATCCATCAAGCAGAGGTGCTTTTTGGGGTCCATTTTGTGGGGGGAAAATGTGTATAGGATTCGATACAAAAACCATTTCAATGTGTGTGTTTGATCTCATAAATGGGTTGTCAGGCATATATATCACTTAATCCTTCTCCCAAGGGTGATAAGGTGACAGTAGCTATGACAATCATACATCATTTTTGAAGCTGAAAACCTCAGGAATTTGAAAACTTTTAGTAAAACAGGACATTTGTCAACTTTGTCCAGGTTTTGTGGGAGCAAGCCACAAATGTAAGGCATTCTGGGGCAAGTTCGCGCAAGAACTATTGTCAACCATGGTCCAACTATTAGTTAGCCCGAACTCGGTCTAGTTGACGATGGTTGACTACGCTAGTCGACTATTTGGAACCAGCCTACTGGGCCTGGTCGCATCACTGGTTATCAATAGTCTTGTTTCGTTACTTAAGTGCAGAGGGAACCATGACAAGAGATTAAACGTAGCGAGTTGTACTACCTGCTGGTGGGCCTCGGAGATATCTTCCAGTTCATTCAACAGGTCAAAGAACATAAACAAGCCAAACATACTCGTTACCGCCATATGTTGACAATGGTTCGACTAGAGACATTCGCACTTTAATGTTAGGCCAAAAAAAAAAAATAGTCGGTCTCTGGTCAGACCGAAGTTCCGGAATTGATGCGGCGACGCAGGGTTTTTTTTTTTTTTGGTGTTTTTTTTTTTTTTCCAAGCTTGAATTGTACAGACAAGGTGGGTACTATTCTGCTTTTTTGTGTCCTCATTATACATTGGTGTCCTTTATCATTTGCCTTGGTGCAATTTCCCCATTCCTTGGTGCTCCTTGGTACAAAAATTTGAGGAGGTGCGGCAAAAGAGGGCGCTGTTGTAGCTTCCGTGTTAATTTGAAGAAAAAAAAAAGGTTGACGCGCATGATTAAAATCGACGCGTGCGCTGACCAGAGGCCAAGCAATTTTTTTTTTGGCCTTACAGCTCATGCGCACTGTTTGACACCAACCAATCATTGGTGGACTATTGCTTGTTGAGCAAACTTGCCCCTGGCAAAATGAGACCGAACTGGACACAGGTCGCAATGGAGAAAAATGCAGTTTCGAATCATCCAAAATTGAGATAACAACGGTTTAATGTACTTAATTTTCAAGTCAAAGTTAAAAATAAATAATTTTACAATCCTATTCACGGTAGGACACAAACTCTAATGAATGCTCAGAGATTGACTAAATCAAAACACTTCTTGACACTTCACTTTCTAATTTAGATTGACAGGGTTGTAGGAATTTGCCTGGAGTGACTTTGCTTACTTACCGTCAAGATGGAAGCGAAAAGCGGCTTCGCATTCGTCTGTGATCGCAATGTCTTAACTTGCTCTAACAGGTCACTTAGAACTGGCCTGTGCGGCTCCTGGGACGCGACCTTCGACACCGAGGGTATGACCTCTGACATTGGATGCTTAAACTCTGACCTCGACTCTGGCAAGCGCCGTCCGGGTGACATCTGTAAAGGGAAAAAACACTGAAATTAAAAACTGGATCCCCTTCCTTTTTTTTTTTGGTTACTTTTCTTGAAAGAAAAGTTCAGAAAGTTTTGGTCTGTACAGTTTATCGTCAAGGTTCAGAAAATTGGGGATAAAAATCTGTTAAATAAACTTTACTTTTGTAGCTTGGCAGAACAAAGCTGTCAATGTGTAAAATTAATGTCTCACTCCAAAGTTCTATGTAACAGCTTTTAAAGTTGTGTGGTTTTTTTGTTACCTTTACAACTTCTCTTACCCTCTGAAAACAAGTTTTTGTTTTGGGCAGGCACAGATCCACTTTGCGAGATCCTACCCCGCGAGAACTGAATTATTGTCTGGGAGTCAATAATTTAAAATTGTAAAGTAATAATTTAATAACTATACATGGGTGGATTTTTTCCGTCGATGTCTCATTCAAAAGTGAATAAGTTTTGTATTGCTAAAAAAATTGAAACTTAGAGCAGGAGTCTATTTTTTTTAGATGAAACTCGAAAAGGAGAGATTCCCATATCTGGCCATCACTTGTCACCCTGTGCACAAACCCTACGAGACAGGTCTGAATTTTTTTTAGAGTTTTCTCAGTAAATACCTCAATATTTTCCCTGCTAATTCTGACTTATTAGGAAATATTATCACTTTCTGATGGCTGATAGGTCACTGAAGGGAAAAATTAGTGATGGCAAGATATGGGAATCTTTCCCTCGAAAATAGCATGGGGAATGCATGTTTAAATAAAGTAAAATTCAGAAACATTTAGAAACAGGTTCTCTCTATTTTCAAAGTAGCCAAGGATAATTTACAGACAAAGTCTTTTTCAGACGAATTATGACTTCAAAACAAGGAAGGTGGCACTGAGAATATTTTCCGTTTATACTAACTCACCTTGGCTTGTTTACACGGAGACGGTTGATCATTGGTGTCGCATGTTAAATCGTCCTTCCTTGAAACATGCCTCTTTCTGTTGTCTAGGTTCAATCCGGTCCTCGCTTGCAGTGTCTGTCGGTCCAGTGTCTTTACTTCGGGGGTTACAATTCTATGTTCATTTTGCGATCTCGGACTAATAACTGAAATCGGTGGACCTGTCTGCAAGGAGGGTTGAGCAAGTTCAGAAATATCACCAGTTGACTGCTGGCCGTTGTTTAATGTACACTGCTCAGCCACAGATAGGCTTCTTGTAATCGGGTTTGCATCGGTTGTAACAAGGGGCGAAATGGCAACGATCGCTGATCTTAACTCAGCCTGCAGAGGGGTGAATGTGTCCATTTGGGAATGCATGCCCAAGTGCGGATGGGTCGATGCAGTCTTCGAGTGGGCCTGGGCAAGTTTGGGGAGGGCAAGTTTGGGGAGGGCGAGTTTGGGAAGGCGGATTTGGTCCAACTGGGGCTTGTAACTTGTTTGGTGTCCTGAGGAACTTGCGACGGCTGGAGCAGCATCACTGAGCCCTGTTTTCTGGGTGAGGGATAGTGTCCCAGGGTCTGTTCTTGGATTTGCAGTTTTCTGTGCTTCTTTTTGGTTCGTTGGGTCTACCTGCGTCAGCTCTGCCTTGGCTTTGGCGAGTAACACGTCATCGAAGCCTTCTACTCTTCCACAATTTTGAGAGCTCTTACTAGGACTGACTTGCGGTTGACTGGGACCTCGATCCTGACCTCGATTACACTTCTTCTTCTTTTGCTGTTTTAGCTTTTTCAGTCCCTGGTTACAAATGGCGAGATCGGGCTCTTTTCTGCAGGCCATGTCAGCCCAGATGCTTCCAATGCTGGACTTGGGTTTGTTGAGTTTGCTCGAGGCCTCATTCTGAGGCACAATAGTCCCTGGCCTCTGAGCAAGCTGTGCACTGCGAGGCAGACTCACTGGATCAGGACCGAGCTGCAATGTCGGTTGTTGCACAGTTTTGCATACTTTTGCACCGACTCTGCCAGTTGAATCGCTTGACTTACGCACAGGAGCATCAGCATTCTCTTGCTTAACAGCTGACTCCAAGACGTTACCATTTTGTTGACAGACGAAGTGCTCCTTCTCCCCATCAGTCTTAAACTCTGGTTTGACTTCCTCCTTAAACTCTAGTTTGACTTCTTCCTTAAACTCTGGTTTGACATCTTCCTTAAACTCTGGTTTAACTTCATCAAGGAGCAAGTTTGCTTCATCTTCCTGTTTTACTTCTCGTTTCCTCATTGAGCAAGATTTCTTAAAACCGGACGTCTTCAGCTCCAAGGCGGGAATCAACATGATCCTCCCTCTTTTAGGTCGTGCACTTGGCTGGCCAGACATGACAGACTGTACAGGAATGGCTGATCCATGCTCTTCGTTCTTTTCAATTTCTTGCTGGATGCTAGAGGCACCTGTTTGCCCTTTGGGTTGAGAATCGGACTCCTTTGCCACCGTCTCAGTTTGGTCTGAGCTGCTGTTGGACCTCTTTCTTCTCTTGGGCGTCTTGCTGACACTTCCTGAATCCTTCCCAGCTGTATCACTCTTCCTGCGAAGTCTCAATGTAGCTTCTCTTCTGCCTCCTGGAGAACTAGAAACAGAAGACGGAGGACCTCTGCCACAAGCAACTTGACTTCTCGTGCATCTTCTTTCTGCTGCCTGTGCAGTGTCGTTTGAGCTGAGCTGATCTTCCTCTGCCATCTTCTTATGTCTTGGTTTACGAGGAGACTTTTGAGGTCCTTCTTTTGGGATGAGCTCGGCTCCTTTCTTCTCCTTCTTGTCTTGGGTGGATCAGAATCTTTCTGATCGTACGGGGGCGTTTTGTCATCTTTAGTTATCTGCTGCTGAACCATCTCACAGGAGTCCAGATTGTTCTTACTGTTTTCTTTTTCCAACACAGACTGACCGTTTGTTTCTTGTTGCTTCTTGACATCAGAATCTTTAGGATCATTTTTGGAAGTTGATGGCTTACTGCGTAATTCCATGAACCCAGATATGCCGGATCTCTGGCCTTTCAGTTTGGGATCTTTTAGTGTTTCTGTGCAGTCAGTTGCTTGGTTTCCTCTATTTTCTTGTCTGAAAGATGATGTTGGCATCTGTGAGGGTTGGGGCCTCTGTAAACCTGAGGTGCTGGGACGCGCCTCACCAAATTCAAAGATCATCTCGGAGGCTAAGGAGTGAAGTCTTGGGCTGATGATCTCCGGGTTTTGACTCGTCCCAGCTGCAGTGGATGTGAAGGATGTTGCCAGGCAACGGGATGCGGGCTGCCTCCTCGGAACGGGATAGTGCTGTGGTCTTACAGAGAGAGCATCACTAGGAGCAACAGCATGAAAGTTGCATGGCGACGGGATGAGCGGATTCCTCAAAGGAGAGATCATGGGACTGCGATCCAACTGATCAAGTCTGACCGAGGAAGCGTCGCTGAGTGGAGAGAGTAGATTGGCGCTGGGGGCTTCTGGCAGTGGAGAGACAGCAGGTGGAACTGGTGTCGGAAACAACGGTGAAATCATCCTGGGCTGGTTGACTAAACCCGACCCTGGGATACCCTCTGTCAACGCAGAATGCCCAGCATCATCTGGAGATTCATAATCAGGGATTCCAGGAGAGGGCGGTAGAGGGGACAGCATTCTTGGGAAACTGACAAACCCTTCTAAGGAGATTGGCGAGGGAGCAAGTGGAGAGAGGGGAGGGCTCCTGGGTGGAGATGACAAGGGCGAGAGTGGTCTGGTGGTGTATTGGAGCGGGAGAGGGGAGACGGGAGACACGTGACCTGCGACAGAGTTGATGCTGATCACCTCGTCTGTGGTCGGAGTGCTGGCTCTGGAAGACTCTGCCTCCACACAGAGCACTTGGCGTTGCGCTTCTCGGTTGTTACTTGTTGAAGCTCCTTGGTTTGATATGTCTTCCCAGCACAGACTGCCTGATTGGTTAGAAGAAGTATGAGTTGAGGGGTCTCTCCTTGTTTCTTTGTTTTCCCTCAGGTTTCCATCATCCTCTGTTGGATGATGCTTCATGCCTTTGACAGGACCATCATCTCTGCTTCTCAGATCTGATTCTTCTGCTGAACTGGATCCTCTGCCACCTTGGTTTGATATGTCTTCCCAGCACAGACTGCCTGATTGGTTAGAGGAAGTATGAGTTGAGGGGTCTCTCCTTGTTGCTTTGTTTTCCCTCAGGTTTCCATCATCCTCCGTTGGCTGATGCTTCATGCCTTCGACAGGACCATCATCTTTGCTTCTCAGATCTGACTCTTCTGCTGAACTGGATCCTCTGCCTAAAGAATTGGTCTGTGCCATTTCTACGTTCTTCCTGCCATCTACATCACAACTGGCAGGCTCCAGATCCTCGACGTTTCCAGGACCATCATCTCCATTCCTCAAGTGTAAGCCGACATGAGAGGTTGCCTCTTTTGTTGCTGAACTGACACAGTTCTGCCTGTCATCTCCACCTTCCTCGAGTTCCATGACTCCCCTTGATTTATCACCTTTATTGAACAGTTCTTCCAAACTCGAGTTAGATCCTCTAGTTGGATCGACATCTGGTGTTGGTGTCCCTTCCCTGTCTGGCTGTCCATCTTCTGATTCTGACTTAGATGTCTCGCCGACAAATCTTTCGAAATCGAATGGCTCCTCACCTACCCCTAACATATGTCCTTGTTCTGATTGTTCACTCTCAGCGACTCGAGGTTCATCAAGTTCAAGGTGTCTATCTCCATTTTCCTGGGACTCTTCTGCAGCTTCAAAGGATAGTTTCTCAGCAACCTCCCGAGTGCTCCTGACACCATTTCCAGATGAGTCATCTGCTTTCTGATTGTGGTTCTCGCTTTCAGGGGGTTTATTTTCACTGTTCTTTCTAACCTCCGTGTCTTTTTGACCTCCCGATGCTTCTTGACCTGTTTGTGGGACTAAGGACATGTGAGAAACCTCTGATTCCTCAAGACCTTCAGCCTTGTCATGTTTCATATCTGATGAGCTTTGCATGCCATTGCCATCATTGCAAATCTTGTTACAATTTGATCTGGAGTTGACAGAAATTGTTGGAGTTTCCAGAGCCCAAGTTTTGGATTCTGAGCTGGCATGGTGTGGTTCAGCCGGATCGCAATCAAGGATCTGTTCAGGATTCCTTGATTCCGAATTTACAAGTAGAGACGACGCATCTGCAATATCTGAGTCTTGGCTTTCAGTTGAAATTGTTCGCAATCCTCTGCTGGTGCATTCTTTGTCTTCCTCTTGGATCGAAGATGAATCAGTGTCTGATTTCTTGCCCAGTCTTGGTGATGTTGTCGTCGTTTTGTGTGGCAAGTCCCTGGCCTCCGTTTTCATGTTTGACGTTTTGGCAGCCGATCTTGTTATCCGTTTGGGAAAGATCTCATTCTTGTCTTGGCTCTGCAGATGTAGTGCTTGGGATCGGGTAATTCTTCTCACACTTGTATCACTTCTGCCTCTACTATCTTCTAGTTTCTCAAAACTTTCGACGACCATCTCCGATGACTTGTTTCCAGGAACTGATACTGATCGGTTGAATTTCTTGGGGATGTTATCCTTGTGGTCCACAGCGGTCGGCTTGGTATCTTCATTTTTAGTTTCTGGGTTTTCTTCAGCCAAGCTGGAAGTTTGTTCGAGAAGAGAAACAGAATGGCGTAGTCGCCTTGGAGGGGAATGAACAGGAGATATCTGAGTCGCTGCACTGGCCAGGCCTTTAGAGCTAGGCTTTCCTTCTAAAGCCGAGTTAGATCGCAAGAGCTTTCTGCAGACTGGTCTAGCAGGTGACGGCGAGGCACCCTCTGTTGAGGACTCGGCTTCAGACACGGATAAGCTGCGGGTGACCGGCCTCTTGGAAGCATTCTTGTCCCGCTCTGAATGTTCCAATGTACGTTTAGCTGGAGACTTCAGTTGATTTTGACAAGAAGACAGACTTGGTTTAACAGCATCAGTTGGTTCAATCACTCCCCGTTCAGTGAGAGTTTTAAGTTGGGATCTCGTCAGTCTGCGATCAGGAGACAAGACCAGCTTCTTATGCTCATCCCACGTATCGTCTTGGGATTGACGGAGGTCAATCTGGGGGAGGGACTGATGTCTTCCTTCAACTGTCGATGGAGACCCAAAATCAGCAACATGCCAATTTGTACCTGTTCGATGCCTGGAAGGTTCTGTTGGAGGATATTTGGTGTCCTCTTGATTGTCGTCTGAATCGTCGGACAAAGTGCTGCTGAACCCCAAAAGTTCTTCTCTACCCCTCTCATTGAAATGTCTCTCCTGGTAATTGTCCTCGTCAAGACTGGAACTCTTTCTAGACTCCTTGGGTATTCCCGATTTTCCTTTCCCGGGTCCTCCCTGCCGATCGAACTCAGTGGCACTGCCTCCAGTTTCATGAGAGCTGGCGTGAAGATTTCCGCTTGCTTCACTGTCTGTTTCAGAAAGCACTTCCACAACATCTGCCGGCCTGCCGCTTGGGGTTGAGATTTCTGTCGCGCCTTTCTTAGAACCTTTTTGTCTTCTTCTAGATGGTTGCTTCTTCCCAGAGGTTTCTTCCGCTGAGTCATCCTGCTTTTCAGCATTGGCATCTCTTGACTTCCTCTGAGCGACTGCTCTTCTTTGCGGAGTCTGTCTGAGTTGTCGTTTTCCTTCAGTCAACTCCTCCTTCGACTCTCTGCTTGTCTCCCCGACATCTCCCGTTTCCACGAGGTTGAGCTGAGACTCGATTTGGTCCGCTACGTCTGAGAATACTTCGTCGTCGCTTACTTCATCCCCACTGATGTCACTGCTTGCATCACTCAGCATCTGAAAAATAGGAGGAAAAAAAATTGTATGAACATCCACACAGGTCACTGCATACATTCATCAATTTAGTAGTCTTCAAACGGAGAGTAAAACCGTTTCAGAACGGCATTCAAGGGTGGCACCAAACCAAATGATTCTAAAGATATTAATTAAGTTCTTGAAGATAGTCTTCCAAATCTTTCATATAAGAAAAGATGGAATTTTGTATTTGGTTCGTAAGTGGATTGGGTTTAACTGTCCCTATCTCATTCTGTGGGTTTTCCCAAGAACATTTTCTCTGGGTTTTTCCTCCCACCTCTAATACTGAACATTTCTTCAATGCCTTCTCTCTACGAGTTTCTTCAGGCTTGCGAGCTACAGTGCCTAGGTCGCTTTTGAAGAATCCTTGGTTTCATTACCAGATACACATAATAATAGTTATTAAAATGAATTAAACAAAAAAAAATGTGCTAACGTTTGTGACACAAATGTTGTGCTATTAAATTTGTTATGCTGGCTTTTTCCATCTGCTGGCGATTTTCATGTTACATCTAGTAGACTAGCATCTTTAACCCTTTCCTTACCACCTTGTTTATTGACTTTGGCTCGCCCCAAAATTGTTTGCTCAAATTGTGCGTGGATCTTTCTGAAGAACTTTCTTAAATTTGTGTAGTGGAAACACTATGAATAAACTGCACCATTAGAACGGTTCGAAAACACTCTTTCAGCTGGTTTAAGGTTGATGTATGGGCGGCAAAACATACCAACATGCCAGCTTGCTGAAAAGCAGTGAATAAATCTGCATTGAGGGTGTTCTGTGTGTGGTTTCCTGGTCAACTAAAGTCGCCTATGGTAAGCAGCAGGGGGGTAGTTTCTTGTCAACAAAAGTCGACCATAGTAAGGAAAGGGTTAAAGGCTTTCCTTAAAAAGCGGCCTTATAAATTCTGTTTTGTTATCAAGGATTACTTACCGGTGAAGGGGGTAGAGGTGACACACACGCTGACATGTCGCAGGAGAAGCGGTTAAAAATCTTCAGGCAGGCATCTTCCTTGAAGGATGGGTGGCCTGTATCCTCCTCACGCTCTGAATGATCCTCGACAACTGAAGATTCATGGCGGGCCGGAGAGAGGAATTCCATCGGTGGAGAGAAAACCTCCCCGACCTGCTCGAAATCTGTGTCTGTTGAGGAATAGAATAGGATGTATGAAAAACACGTCCGAGATATGACAGAAATTCAGAATTCGGAGGACAATTTGTAGGGGTAGAGCAGTATGAGATACAAGTACAAGTGGTCTCCCTAAAGTCTCTCTTTTTAAGCGTCGAGGGGGTACAGAATCCACAGATAAGAAGTAACCGACCTAAATATACCCCAAATTAATCTGACTGGCTGGCTCCTTTAACCCATAGAGTACAGGGTGAATCAAAAATAAGGAAACCCAAATGGCGCCCCCTATTTTGTATTAGAGGTTCTGCATGTAGCGCGTTCCAGATCTAGGATGTGAAAGCCCATTTAATAAGCTTTCCTTTGGTACAAGGGTCATTCACGTACTTTTTGGGTTATGGAATTTTGAACAGAAACACAGTTTTGAAATTTTGTCCATGGATCACATTTAAGGTACGTGATATTTCAGTGAAATGAAACCATGTCGTATCATGAAAACAATACCAGAATAATCCCATAAGTCTCCGGGTAGCCAAGTAAAAGGCCGGGCAGGACTATAAACTTTTGACATTATAAAGCATGTTGTTCTAACATTGGAAGCAGCAGATTTTTAAATAAAGGTCATGATAAGTGCCAGTTATCATGGTTATGAGAGTGTTCTGATGTGTTTTTGATATATTTGAATTGTTTTACTTTTGCTGAAATATCACCCTTTATTGTGATCCGTTATCAAATTTAAAAAACTGTGCTTGTGTTAGTCCATAACTTGAAAAGTACATAAGCGATATGAACGATTCTTTTACTAAAAAAAAGCTTGTTAATTGGGCTTTTATATCCCATATCTTGAAAGCTCTACATGCCAACCTTCTTTAAAAAATAGGGGGCGCCATTTGGGTTTCCTTCAGTTTTGAGGGTCTGCTTAGCAAAACCAAGTACAACGTCATCTTATTCACATTGCATCCGTTCACACTCACGTTGCTTTTCAAACTTGGTTGTTTTGCACTTAAAAACAATAAACATAATAATGCCATATATTTGTCCATATAAACTCCATATTACACCAGAAACTAACCTTCGGTTGACACACTTTCCTGGCCGTACGCCGAACCTCCGAGAAGTGATTTAGGCACCTTCGGAACAGGAATGCCACGGTCTCGCAGGATTTGGACAAGCTCGGAAATCTTGTTCTATTGAGAGGAAATGAAACACAAGGTCTCCATCAAACATATGTGAAGCGTTCGAGGCAAAACGAGACAGAACTGGGCACAGGCCGTAGTGGGGAAAAAATGCAAACAAAATTTCCGAGGGTGATTTTTTTTATTTCCAGATTGATGTTTGTAATCACTGTTACAGTGACCTATGATCTTTGACCTTTCGATATGAACTCTGACCTTTGCTTGCTGGTGTCTAGTGACAAGCCTGGCTTCCCGTTTCTTCGCACTCTGGAGTTCTTTCTTGCAGGTTGACAAGTCATCTGGAAGAAGAAAGAGGATGAATTGTTCAAAGGATAACCTGAAATAAGTCATAGCTTCAGAGACTCCATGTAACATTCAAGGTAATTGCAATGGATCACAAGTCTCTCAGAAGTCCATCACAAGTCCACAAATCAATCACAAATCCATCACAAGTCCATCACAAAGTCCATCACAAGTCCATCACAAGTCCATCACAAGTCATCACAACTTTATCTCAATTCAATCACAAGTCCATCACAAGTCCATCTCAAGTCAATCTCAAGTCAATCACAAGTCCATCACTAGTCATCACAAGTCCATCACAAGTCCATCATAATTCCATCACAAGTCCATCACAATTTCATCACAAATCATCACAAGTCCATCACAAGTCCATCACAAGTCAATCATAAGTCCATCACAACTCTATCTCAATTCAATCATAAGTCCATCACAAGTCATCACAACTTTATCTCAATTCAATCACAAGTCCATCACAAGTCCATCTCAAGTCAATCTCAAGTCAATCACAAGTCCATCACTAGTCATCACAAGTCCATCACAAGTCCATCATAAGTCCATCACAAGTCATCACAGGTCCATCACAAGTCATCACAAGTCCAACACAAGTCCATCACAAGTCAATCATAAGTCCATCACAACTCTATCTCAATTCAATCATAAGTCAATCACAAGTCAATCACAAGTCCATCACAAGTCATCACAAGTCATCACAAGTCATCACAAGTCATCACAAGTCATCACAAGTCCATCACAAGTCCATCACAAGTCATCACCAGTCATCACAAGTCATCACAAGTCAATCACAAGTCCATAACAAGTCCTCCAGTCCCAAGTCAACTCACAAGCTATTCAAATGAACTGCGACCAAGTTATGCCTTTTCTTTGTTGTTCTTCCTTCTTTATGTGCCCGGATTTGTGAATTGACTTGGGATTCACTTGTGACCGACTTGTGATGTTGAGTACAATATTGCTTGGAATAATTAAACCCTAAATAAAATGGCATGATATCATTAACAAAAATTATGAAAATTCAAAATTGCGTTTCGTTAAGACGTAATAGTTAGGGATAAAAAATGTTGATTACAGCAAGAATTTCAGTTAGTAGATATACTCACCTTTATTCTTAGCCAGCAACGCTGATGTCTTCTTTTCTCTGCACACAAAAGAAAACAAGATGTTGAAATAAATTTAACAAAGACCGACAAGTTTTTACCGACAAGTTTTTCTAAGTCCTCCTTTTAATGAAGCAAAGGCCTTATTTTCATTCATTCAAAGCAGTCTCATTTACCTGAAATTATGTAAACCATTGCCTGCGCAAACTGGTTCACAAGTGAGCATGACTTACCCTTCTGCTGTCTGAACAGTCACAGACAGTCGAAAAATCAATCCTCTTCCCCTGCCATGTCTTTCAACCACAGTCAAATTCCATCAACATACAAAAACAAGTAACTGCTACGGTAGGTATAGCTGGCCTATCAATCTCCTACATTGTATAGTCAAAGCATAGCTATATCAAGTTACTGAAACAGTCACAGCCAGTCAATCCTATTTTATAAGGGCCATAGAAAGTCAACTGTTTAAAACAGTCGCTCAATTGATTTTTTCACAATTGGGGTTGCGCTGTTTAATTTGCCGGCCAGCAAAGAAGGGTTAATTGTACACTGTGCGCCTAACAAAAATGCTAGTAAACAAATCGTGATTTTTTTTCTTACGCTTGTTGGCTCTTTTCGGCTGCTTTCTTCAGGTCGGTCTGGTTCCCTTCCAGCGTTTCCAGTTTCTCCTGCATCTCGTAAAATCCATCTTTGAACTGTACACAAGAGGCCTGCAAAATAGAAAGTTTGAAAGTACATTACAACGCGACTGCCTACATTTCAAAACTTCAATGACTAATAATAATAATAGTTATTATGGGAACATATGTAAATTTGGGTTTTGCATCATGAGGAATCGATCAAGGCTATTTGCGACAGCAAAATTATGGCTAGAAATACGAGTTGAAACATGAGAGAGACATTCATATGTCTCCATAATCTACCTTGTCTCCCTAAAAGGTTGTCGCAAATAAGCTACAGTCCCGGCCAAAATGGTTGGGACACGTCACAATATGCGTACCCTCCCCCGTCTCCCCTGGTTCACACCTTCCCTGTCCACATCCAATCCAGGGTACATCCACTCAGACAATCCCGGCCAAAATGGTTGGGACCTGTCCACACAATGAGCATTCCCTCTCCTGGTCCCCTGCTCCCCTGGTCCACACCCTCCCTCCCCACATCTAATCCAGGGCACTTGCATTCAGACAATCCTGGCCAAATGATTGAGACACGTCCACACAATGAGCATACCCTCCCCTGGTCCCCCGCTCCCCGGTCCACACCCTCCCTCTCCACATCCAATCCAGGGTACATACATTCAGACAATCCCGGCCAAAATGGTTGGGACACGTCCACACAATGAGCAAACCCTCCTCCAATCCCGCGGTCAATGTTGTCATCTCCTACTTGAGCACGGGCCGCGCAGTGAGAGACAACATTGGCTGGGGGCCGGGGGCGAGTTTTGGCTGGGATTGTATTGATTGCTCTTCGTCTAAAACAAGACAAGTCTTCTTTACCTCGCTGCCTGCCAGTTTGTCTTCAGTCTCTCTCAGTTTTGCTCTGCATTCTTCCAGTTCCTTGAGATATTTGTCCTTATGAAGTTTCCAGGGGATAATTTCCTCAAGAGTAGAAGTCAACTCCTTCTCGAGAATCTTGCAATCACTGCAATCAAATAGAAGAAAAATACAGCTTGTACCTCATTTTATTCCTATGAGTTTCCCGAAAAAGACAATTATGAAGGGACATTATGTCCTGGATTACACCCAATAGACCATGCATTATCATGTTGCCGCCATCTTGATTTTTCCCATTCAAATCAACATAACCAAAGCGAGGCTGGAGGGAAAAATAGTCTGGTTCCTTTTTGCACAAAAAAATATCATTCATGTTGTCTTACCGTTTGGCTGAGGCTAGTTTGTAGGCGACGTCCTCCAGTTTTTTCTGTTGCTGATCAAACTGTGAACCTCAGTCAAGGAAATGAATCTCATTTTGTGTACAAACTTGGAATATAAACTAATTAAATTCATCACAGAATCGCATACAACACCTAGAAAGTTTGTACATAAAATACCGAGACTTATTAATTTAACCCTAACTATACACACATGTGCAAAGTGTCCCACACATTTCAGTGTAGGCTTGGGCACTTTATGACACTTTTGGAATCAATTCCACTTCCTTCCAAGAATCATGATTCCATTCCGAATCGATCCCCAATTTGCCTGGGGGGGGGGGGAGGGAGCAACCTGCTTCTGAAAAATGAAATACATGTATTAGTACCTACAAAATAACTTAGTACAAGATCATTAAGAGACACTGTCCTCCTCTTAAATAAGAACAATTAACACAGAATATTTTATTGAAGCGTACAGAATGTATTCCAGGAAAAAATGATTATATGTAGCTCCTTCCGGGATTTGAGTCCTCAAAAAAAAAAGGAGAATCACAATTATGATTCAAAGCTAGAAATCAATTTTAATCGATTCTTATCGGGATTCGCCAACCATAGAGCTATATCAATATAGGTCTTTGGCCCAAGCCTATTTCAGGGGACATACATCAGGACAACTTCAATTCAAATACAAAGAGAAAATCAATTGTTTGAACTCCTCAAAGAATTAGTTGAAGATCATTCAAAGGATATCTTGGCATTTGCTGTTGTACTTGCGGATGAGCGTGCTGAAAGAGAAGATAAACAATTATGAAAACTAACACACACAAAAATTACTATACACAAATATAATCATTGTATGAGCACTATATAGGCAGTGCTGTCTGAGAACTTGGGATAAAAAATCATGAGTTTGCTTGGGTGGGACTAGGACCCACGACCTCCCTGCTTACTATTGCAGATACCAGCTTGGCATTTCGAATCTCATACACCAGCGGGTAACGCAATCATCGTCTTGTAAAAAAATGGAATGTTGCATCATCAGGAAGCAGTTGTAACATTCTTGGTATTTTTTGGCCTTTTACTGATACGATTATAAAATTATGTCTATAAAGGAGGGAAAACTAGAATGATTTAAAGGGACATGCAATTTAATTCTTTTATGCAATCCTTGAAAATGCACGTTTGTGTCCCATTCAACCTAATTTTCAACTTTCGTTTTGCCATTTTCAAGGGTATTCTGCTGCCTTTTTGGTTTTTATGCTAATTCACATATTTCCACATTCGTGAGCAAAAGTGTGATGTCATTTCAGGCAGAAACCTCAATGTTACAGCTATTTTAGCATAAAAAAAATCGCCAGAATTTTGGACGTTTTGCTGTCGTTAAATATTCTGTTCTTTGGCGATTCGTTCTTGTGTCAGTATATGACAGCAAGTCAATGAACAAACTTTTCTCACAAACGTTTTCAACGAGCAGATTTTTGGGTTCACACTTTGAACCAAAAAAACGCTTAACTGAAAAGAGTCTTCCTGAAATAACATCACAGCAACCGCCCCCTTAGTTGTCCGGAAAAGCATGGACAATTTTACATGTTTATAATTATAAAGAAGTGCAGTTTTCAATAAAATTATCAAAAAGGGATGTCAAATAGTTTTCATACATTTAAGAGGAGTAGAAAGATGCACAAAATGTGTTCCTGAGAAAAAAAAATCATCTCATGGACCCTTAAAATAATTCTTACTCTGTCAAAGTGATCTTCTTCTTGATGGATGTGTACAGTGCCCGATCTCTCTGGCTCCGCTCAAGTTCCTGTAAAATAGATTAAAAAATAAAGGTCAAAATCATTCATTTTAGGCCCCCCAAAAAAGTCTCCGGTTTCTGGTATGCGCGCGCGTCGCCGTAGCCATGCGCGTCGGCAAAATGAAAAAGTTTTTTTTTTCAATAAAAGATGACGTCTCAAAACCGCCAAACTCACTGGTTTGACTGGAATCCTGCTGCTGCACAATTTTAACGTGTTTTTAGATTTGGTTATGATCAAGAATACGCTTTATGTGGCCTCTCCAGACTCCCATATATTTGCACTAAGTTTAGTCGGGCACCATTTGCGGTCATCATTCGACATTTGAAGCAAAAAAGACAGGTAAAAAAAAAAAAGCCGCGTCGCTGCACCACTTTTTGGGCAAGCTCCATACCAGAAACCGGAGACTTTTTTTTTTTGGCCTTAATAGAACTTTATTTTTTAGGGGGGGGGGGGGGAGGAGGATGGGGCTGACTTGAGCAAGGTCAAATGTTTTGAAAGCGATTTTTACTTAAAGCAATTTGCCATTTTGCACTTACACAGAAAAGTACCTTCACCAATTTTAATGACAGAAATCTTGTAAATTAAAAGTAAAAGTGAAGATAGGACTGGTATCAGGCATGAAACTGGGAATTTAGAGAAAAAAAACGAGGGAATCCCAAACAACACAAGACTTTGTACAGTGTTTTTCAATTTGTGATGGCATTTACGAGAAGTAAAAAACGAGGAAATCAGCGGATCCGAGAAAAAGTTGCATGCTTGTGGTATAAAATACCTGTGATTTTTTTTCACCTGAAATGATATCACTCCGAAGAAAACTAACACTGAAGGTGGTTTAGAAGTTGCTACAGGGGCACACTTTTTTTACATGTGTTGTCAACGGAATTCAGCTACGAGTTCCCGAAAAATTGTGCGTACTGTATGTTTTCTAGCAATAACCCATTTGCGAGTGACTATAATACCCTTTGAGATTTAAATGTGAAAAACATCTGGTAATCTGACTTGCTCAGAATGCTAAGCACATTTTAACTTTGAATTCTCCAGACCAAAGACACTGTTGCTAATCACATGATTCGGGGCAAGCTCTCGCATAGTTACGTAAGAGACGCTCAGCATCAATACATTGCTCACAACGGGTGAGAATGGCACAAAGACACCAGACCATGCCGGAGCTGGGGGTTGCTAGCATAAGGCTAGCATAAAGCATATAGTAACAGTCTCTTTGGTCGGGAGAATGCAAAGTTAAAACGTGCAAAGCATTGGATTAAGTCAGCTTTCCAGATTTTATTCAAATTTAACTCGCAAATGGCTTATTACAATGTATCCATTTTAATGGTAAAAACTTTGCTCAAACTCAAAGTGAAAATAGGACTGGTATCCAAAACCCTGCGAAGTGATTCAAACACTTTCGATCACTTTCGATCTCTGGCTGTGCTCCGTGGTCAGGCATGGGTCGTGTGGCCGCCACCTAAGGCGTCTTTACATGCCTCTGGCTTGACCATGTTGTAGCCGCGTCCTTCGCAATTCAGCTTCTCAGCTGCGAGTAAGGATGATTAGCCTCCCAAATTATCATTTTACGTTTCTTTGGTAAAGCTTAATTTTTTGGTGGAATTGTACCAACCTCTTGCAGTTCTGCGCATCTTTTGCATGACGTCTCCTGTGTGCTGTCCTCCGTGTATTCATTGTTGCATGGCGCGTCACCGTCGGTGATGGGCGCATGATCGTCATCCACGTTAGTTGTCATAGTAACCAGAAAAGTCTATTTGATCATACCTAAAATTAAAAAGTTTTCCATGAAAATCCGTCAATTAGTGATATGAACATATTAATAATAAAAGTATACCAACCGTCGACAGTTTACACAAAATGCAGTGGGTATCGCTACCAGGTTTAGGTTACCGTAATACTTTACGTAGTGGCTATCGTAAGGCGATATTTCAACTGCTATCATTACGGAACCATCTGGTTCCCTGACCTAATAATAGTATTTAAGGTCAGGATCTTTGGCTGTTGGAACCAGACTATCATGTAACCAAATAGACAATGGTTCTCAGACTTTATTTGCCTTTTTTTTTTTAAATCCTCCAAAGCAACGGATTACGAGGAAGAAAACGAAATCTGCTTACAAACTGTAGGCTCAATAAACAGACTGATTTGATTAAAAACATGAAACTAGGGACCTATTAAAAATAATTTTATTTTTTAAATTGAGCAGCGCGGCAGCGGTTTTGAAACCGGATCCCTAGCACAGTAGTTGAACGTGTAACCTAACGAGCTTCCGAAGAGTTGGACAGATTGGTTGGACGGATTGGTTGGACGATGTGATATAGAATGGCAATGGTGATTTTGCAATACCGTAACGATAGCAGTTGAAAATCGCATTTTCACAGCTGTCGTAACGATAGCCACTACGTTTTGGGGTTTAAGCCCCCCCCCCCCCCCAGAGGTTGTCAATTTTTGTTTTTTTAGTTCCACGATTTGACCTAGGTGATATGTATGAGGCCTATTTTCGATTACTAAAATAGGGGGGTAAGTGGCTCCAACAATTTCAAAATAGTCTGCCCCTTCCAAAAAACACCACTTTTTTTTTCTGTGGCCAAAAAAATTTGGGCAAATTTTTTTTTTTTAATTTAGCTTAAATTTGAAAAAAAAAATTATGAATCCTGGATGCGCCACTGATTGGCTCGCGTACGAGTTGACCTGTATTCATGGTATTACGACAATATTTCTTCCCAAACAACTACTATTTTGCAGCAAAGAATTCCATACCTGGACATCACTTGACACCCTGTGCTGTACACAAACAGTATGGTCTAAAATTGTGTTTTCTCGGTAGGCTAGGCCTAGAATAAACGCTTCAAAATTTTCCCTGCTAAATTTGTTTTTTAGGACATGTTGTTATCGCTTTCTGATGGATAAGTCACTGCAGGGAACAATTAGTGATGTCCATGTATGGGATTCTTTCCAAAAAGAGATTTTTACCACCGCAAACTAACATGGCAGAAAGAGAAGAACACCGAACACGCAATAATCGTAAAGTAGGCGTTAATGCATGTAATGACACGTGGAGATGTCACTCAACTTTTTTCGTGAAAAAAAAACACGTTACGGTAACGACAACTCAAAGAGCGCCCTCAATCATCAAAAGCAATAATTAACGTGCCTTCCCATCATGCATCTGCTTTTTGCTTTTTGTTGTAAAATCTAGAAAATATTTTGCTTGGATTTGTGTTGCTGTCAAAATAGGAAAATTAAATTTGAGTCGATTTTTTTTTGGGGGGGTGGCTGTCAAAAAAAAGGAAAATGACTTTTGATTCGCTTTTTGCTTTTTACTGTCTAAAAGCAAAATGGGATTTGTTTCTCTTTTAAGCCAAAAAAGGACACCGTTAAAAGTAAAGAGCGCCCTCATCGTCATAGACTTCGCGGAAATTATTATTTTTAAAGAGCGCCCTCAATACCTATAGAATTCGCGCACGTACGATGAGAGGGCGTGACGGAGACCATACACCACCCCACCAACGCGACTTGGACGAGAAAAGTAGCTCAGAACTTTTAATTAATAAGTAAGATCTGTGATGTATTTTATCGCGTGTTGATCCATACACTACTTTCAGCAGCATTGGCTGAATTGCTAAACTCATACACATCGTTGCACATGCCCAACCCCATCATTGTGCCAAGCAAAACTATATAATAATAATAATACCACGGATATGCGCTGAATTATGAAAACGCCTGTATTGTTGTCGCACTTTAATTCGTAGAAATCAGCTGTTGCAATGACCACTTTCAAAATGATAATTACAATATCGCCATCCCGCAACTTTCACATTTACAGCGAACTTCCTGCATCGCGTATATTATTAATCTGTCATGCGTAACCCACATTCAACTGTACCTTGGGCAAACCGGGCTTCTTGTGGTTGGTGAAAAAAGGGACAGTGTCGGATTTCTAGAAATTGTAATTTCATCACTCTTGTTCCAACTATTGAAGGACGATACGAATGTGTGTCAATTGAATTTGACCGGCAATAGGCCTATGAATTACAAGATGTACACACTTTTCTAGTTTTACTCGTGAACTTCCTTTTTTAAGGACTGTGTTTTTAAGTCAAAGTTCCGTTTTTGTAAAAATAGAACTCTCTAAATCCCAAGAGTGAAAATTCACTCCATTCGTGTGAAATATTCACTCCCACCTGACCGACTGAAACTCAGTAGAGTGAAATTCATTCAATGGAAAAGATCGAGTTTTCATCCGAGCCTCGACTGAAGTGATTCTTTTCTTCTTTTTTTCAGAGTACTTCAATCTAAAATGAGAGAGATTTTCACTATAAATCGTCTATAGTCCCTGGTTTTACACTTTTGGATTTTGATAGAGAGAAATGAAATTTAGTTGGGAATTAAAACACCTCATACATTATTCATGACCCAAACGCGCTTCTTTCATTAGTCGATGTACCGATGCGTCAGTAATGTTGTCGATCAGCCAGCACTATATCGCACTACTCCCCCTAAAACCATGCCGTATACAAGTTGAGTAAAAAAAACCCAACGAAACCCAAATGGCAGGACCATTTTTTTTAATGAAGTTTTGCCTGTAGCACTTTCAAAATGTAGGATATGAAAGCCCAGTCATTAAGCTTTCTTTTAGTACTACAATAATCATTCAAATCACTCATGTACATTTCAAGTTACGGAGTTTCAACACAAACACCGGTTTAAAGTTCTGTCCACGGATCACAAAAAAAGTAAGTGTCCTTTCAGCTCAGCGGAACGAAAACAATTCTCATAGGGATGCATGTGAATTGTTCTCGTTTTGCAAAAGAACACTTACCTTTTTTTTTGTGATCCGTGGACAGAACTTTAAAACGGTGTTTGTGTTCAAAATTCCTTAACTTGAAAGGTTGGAAATATTTGGGGGAATTGTGCCTTTGATGATACAAGCATGGCATTTGGCACACAGTCAGAGTATGTCATGAGAAAGATACTTGTCTATAGGGCCATTGCAGATTCGTCCTTTGAAAAAAAATATAGGAAGGTAAACAAGCGATTTTCTAAATGTTCAAAATTTGCTGTAATTGCTTGTTATTCTACCTATATTTTTTCAAAGGATAAATCTGCAATGGCCCTATCGTCAAATATCTTTATCATGGCATACTCTGTGCCAGATTCCATGCTTGTATCATCAAAGGCACAATATAACATAACCTATGTCTACCGTACTAACAGTCTTGGTTATGTCGAGGGCAGACAGTGAAAACAGACACTTAAAAAAGGCTGGAGCACGGCTTGTATATGGCACGGCAAATCCTGTCTTGTTTAGCGGGTGCCTAGTTTCCATAAACCATGGAAAGGCAAACGTAGTAATTTGGAAAAATTGTCAGAGCAGACAATTTTTGGAGAGTAGGCAATTATTTTGCCAGCAGGGCAAACTTGTCAACTGTGTGACTCACGCCTCTCCATAATAATTGTACTTTTCAGGTCACGCGTGCAGTCTGCGAGAACAGAGTCAAAGTACTTTAGGCCTTGAAAATGAATTTAGAAAAAATGAGTCTAAAAAAAAAATGGAGACTGAGGCCTTTAAAAATATTTGCATTCGTTCTTAAAAGTATGTTTTCAGATAACTTTTGTTTTACAATACTCGTTTAGATCGACGGATTGCAGTTTTGACGTCGTCATAACCGTAGGAATTAGCATAAATATTGACGTTTATGCAACTATTCGATCGTTCTCGAAGTTGCTTTTGTGAAATGTGAAATGATTTTTTTTTTGTGATTTGAAGCGGTGGTGTTATAAAGGGTTTTTTAATAACTGTAAAAAGGGAAATCTATTGAAACAAAACTGCAGTTACATGGATAATTTGAATTAATCAAATTGCTGCAGTGTATATTTTTCTTAATATATTCGGCTAATGTGTATAGGGTTTTTAACTAATTTTGTACACAACACATGCGCATTTCCATAAATTCTATGGAAAGTACCTCACAAAAAACCCACGCAAACTAAACTTTCATAATTCAGTTTATTTAATAAAAGAGAAACGATAATAACAGCCTAGCAAACGAACAAAACAAAAAGAAAATGAAACTTAAAAGAAACAAAACTTTTGATTGAAATAGAAATTTCCAAGGCATTTATTGCATGTGGTTTAATTACAGACAAAACATTTTTATTTTTTAAAATTACATTCATACAAATGTTTACAATAATTGTTCGCATTGTATTATCCTTGGCGACCTAAATGTAATGCCTGTCAAAATGTACACACGAAAAAAATTATCAGTGGGTTTTTATTAAACTTGTTTTAATAATTTCCCCAATCAGGAACTTCTCTATAAGGTTCCAGAAAAAGGAACAAGAATCAGTGTATACTGTAATGTCAACTTCAAAGTCTGACTGGATTTATATTTCCCAAAAGAAAGCGTAAGGCCACGTGAAAAAAAAAACAGTTTCTCGCCCGGGTTTTTTAAACAGAAAAAAAGTTAGGAGGTAACCCTTTTTTACCCCAAGATGGCGGATTTTCGAAGATGGCAGATGGATTGTTCTATTTTCTTGACTCTTTGGCTGATACTTTAGTGATTAAAGGAGATATCAGCCTTTCACGAGATTTTGATCTACAATCCTGGCCAAATCTCACTGGGCCCCCAACCCCCGCTCAATGTTGTCTCTCATTGCGTGGTGTGGCTCCATACCCTGAAGAGGACAACATTGACCGGGGGAGCGGGGAGTTGGTGACCGTGGAAGGCTAAGGTTATTTCCAAATGTCCCAACCATTTTGGCCGGGATTGTAGCATACAAAGCCACAATTCTACTTGAAACAAATAAAAAGACAAACTACATTGGAAATGTATGATTAAACAAAAAGTTGGAGGTAGCTGGGAAAAGGAAGCGGACAGGTACGAGAAGCTAGTTTATTTTTGTACATGGCCGAATGCAGAGGTGTAGAAATAACAAGAACAAATTTATTAACAGTAGTTCCCTGTGTTTATCAAGTTAACTAAATATTTTTTTACCATAAATCTGTGGGCAGGAGGTCATGGGTTCGAGTCCCACCCAAGTGATTTTTTTTCTCACAATCACTCCAGACAACACCGAGTATACAGTGTAAACAACAATACGTCGGTGAAGGGCAAAACCAAAGTTGAATTTAGATCACCCGAACGCAAAAAAAATCGGTCTGATGAATAAATCTCTGTGCAGTAGGACACAGATCTTTAACATTTTTGTTATGTTCTAAAATTGACAAGTCTTTGAAAGTAGGAATTATGATGAAAACAGTGAAGACTTCAAAATGAACATTTATTAGTCTGATGCATTTGGATGTTACAACCGACTTCCTCAACATCTCTAATATGCCTTCCGGGAACCAGACCAACATGACTGCCAGCACTGAGACAAATTATCATCAAGCTTCAAAAGTCAAGTAAAAGAAATGAAAGATGAATTTGTTTTATTGGAAATGAAAATTTCAATTAAGAAAAACTGCAAAGGATATTTTTTTTTACAAAGGTTCAATGAAATTTTATTCCATCCCAAAATTATGTGTAAAACACAGTCAGTATCGTGTATTTGTGATCTTACAGTTGGTAAACAAGTCTTGAAGATGTACTGTCCATGGTCTTCGACAAATGTATGGGTTTTTTTTTTCTCCTTAAAATTTTTTTAATAGGGAGACGGGACCGAGTCTATTTCAAAATTTTGTTCTTTTGCTACACCAGCTGGAGTGATTTTATTGTCATTCAATGTCTCATTCAAATGTGGATAACTTTTGTACTGCTAAAAAAATAGCAATTTTAACAAGAATCCATCATTTCCGGCAAAACTCAAAAATAGCATAGACAGTACACCTTTTAAAGGTAATATACAACATTTGCAAACATCAAAATTACCAAATTTTTATGAAATATCTTACTTGACTGTAACTTGAATAATAGTCTCAAGCACTACGTGAAATCATGGCACCTGGTGTGCTGTCATTTTCCAGAGAAAAGTGGATTTTTTTTTATCAATTTCTAAAGATGGTTGGCCGACCATCGTTGGACAAAACTTAT